TGTGGCAGAAAGAGAATCTGGAGGAATGCAGAGAGGAAGAGAGATTTGTGGGTGCTTCCTTGCTAGTCTTAAAGATAAAAGAAGGAGTTGGAAGCAAAGAAATACAAAAGGTCTTCACAAGCTAGAAAACACAGGGAATTGGATTCATCCCTAGCGTCTTCAGAAGGAATGCAATCCCGTCAATACATAAGATGTATTGGCCCACAGAACTTGAAGATGATAATTTGATGATGTTGTTAAGCCATTACCTTTCTTTTAACTTTTAAGAACAACAGAAAAACAATACATGAAGCAAAAGAGCTGATTTAATCTGCAGCAGATCCTAAGAACCTCTCTTGAGAAGTGAAAGATGAGGAAGGAGCAATGTATTTGAAGCTAATGGACTGGTCCATAAGGCTGGGAAAGAGAGTAGTAGTTGGTAACTATATGAATAAGACCAGTGGGGGCTGAAGGAGAAGAGTAGCTTTAGATGCTGACAGGTATTCAGCCATTTTTATAATCCAGTTTATTTCAATATTGTTTAAAGAGTAAATGAAATAAAATATCTAGCTGGGCACATACTGACTAACCAGAGCATTATTAAAGTTTGCATTTGATATTTCAAGAATTGTTAAGACAATTCAGTAGTACTCACTCGATAAACACTATATTGAAAATGAACTATACAACTTGTAGGTGAAGATGGGAGGGGAAAACTGGGAGAGAGCAAGGGAAGGGGTGACATTGTCCAAAAAGAAATGTATTCATTACCTGACTTATGTAACTGTAACTCTTCAGGACATCACCTTTATAATAACATTTTATAAATAAAATAAAAAGGAGTTGTTACTGGGCCTGACAGGTAAAATAAACTGATAGAAGAAATAATTTTTTGTCATGCAAATTATGGGAGCATCTCACTTTTGTGAATTATTCAGCTATCAGTATGGTGATGCTGTGTAACAAAACACCCTCAAAATCCAGAATTTGGTCAATAATATTATATATGAATACTCACATACCTATAGCTAGATTTGTCTGGCTGGGGTAGACAGGGATTGATGGGTTCTAAGTGGCTTTGAGGTCTGTCATAGATGTGTTAATTTAGGGCCTACACTGAAAAGCAATAATTTCACAGCTCACTTTCTTCTCTTAGTGGCTCTCAAGAGAACAAGTCAAACCACAGAAGCACATTTATGACTGTATGTGAACCAAACCTTTCAACATTCTAGTAGGTCAAGGCAATTCACATAACTATATCCAGAATTTATGAGGTGACAAATTACACCCCGCCCTCAGTGAGTGGGAAAAGAAGTAAATATTTGCCAAACAATAATTCACACTGTTACACCTGCTGGTTCATGACAAATTGTAAAATTTTATATAACAACAAAATAAAAGAATTCAATTAAGAAGAAATTAAGAAATAGCTTCGATCAATAACTGATCCTATTTTATCCACATTTGTTAATGTGTTATAGAACATAAAATTTGGAAAAATATTTACCTGAGTGTAGTATGAATTTTTTTTCAATGAGGGGCATCAACCTCTTGGCTTTGCACATTCTACACAGCTGATCACTGAGCTACATCCTCTGGTGTTCTGAGACAGGGTCTCACTATGAAGCTCAGGCTGGCTTTGAACTCTTTAATCTCCATGACTTTGCTTCTCAAGTACATGGGCTTACAGGCATACACCAGATATTATAATATAGAATTTTAGAAATAAAATAACAATATTGGATTTTCTTCAAATAATGGCAATAATTTAGGCATTTTTTCATTTCATTTAAAGTGTGAATGTTATTAAGTAATCTTAATATTAAATAATCATATTACTAAATTTGTGGATTTTTTTTGTTGTTGTGGGACTTAAACTCAGACCTTCAAACTCTCCCTTAGCTCTCTTGCTCCTGATTGGAACTCTACAACTTGTGACACACTGTTTTTGCTGGTTAATTGGAGCTGGAATCTCAAACTTTTCTGCACAGGCTGGCTTGAACCACAATGCTTCAGATCTCAGCCTCCTGAGTAGAATTACAGATATGACCCACTGGCACCTGGCTAAGTTTATATTCTATTGATGTTACCAGATAAATGCAAGCCAGAATTAATTACTGTTTTAACCAATTAAAAATAAAATAGACTGGGGATTTGGCTCAGTGGTATAGTCCTTGTCTTGTCTGAGAAAGGCCCTAGGTTCAATGTTCAGTAACACACACACACACACACACACACACACACACACATATACTAAGAGAGTAGCTTTAAATGTAGTTATATATCATTCTCTTCTCCTTTGTCTAAATATACCAAACCCTTAACTAGAATAATTTCCCATTATCTAGCATATTACTTAAAAAAATTCTTACTACAACACATAACCAATCTACAGAAAAGTGGATAAATATACAATGACAGTTAACCGTGTTTTACAGAGAACATGAGTATAATTACAAGCTGAGTCTTAAAAATGGGTCTGGAAAAGTCCACACTGCCACCTTCTGTGCCTTCCACCAAACCCCTTCCTTGCCTCCACAGGTACTGACTGACACCATTGTTCACCAATTCCTAAATAATTTAGCAATGACAACTTGAGCCTATGGGTTTTTTATGGAAATATAGAGTGCCTGCCTTCTGTTTTTCCACATCCTGTTTTATTTTGTTTCATTTATGTTCTTTATTGAAGGTAAAGTCAGGATGATTTCCCTTTGGTAAAGGATGACATTGTTTGTCTCATGATTTGTTTATCTTTACTGCTGTTATGTTGGTGAACATTTGGCTTATTTTCAGTTTGAGCTATAGAAAATAGTGCTGATCTGAGTATTTTTTGCATTTCTCCCCTGAATTTACATTCTGTCCTGTATATAGTCACATTACTCTTTTAGATAGTTAGATTATGATCACTTCTCCATTGTAAACCCTGAGAAAAATTACTGTCTTCATTGGAAGTGAAAATAAATGTAAACATCAGTTAATTCGTAGACTTATCAACAGCTTACTATTTGCCTTAATGACATTATAACAGATTGACAGAATTATCACAATGCATATAACATCAACCATCAGGCCATAATTACGTATGTATGTAATATATGTGTGTATATAATATGTATGTACTACCTAGTCCAGTAAGGGAGGAAATATGCATAAGACTAGTTATAATAATATTATTCAAAAATAACTAAGCTTATGAAAGTTGTATAGATAAAACATAATTATGGCCCAGAAAAAAAGAGTGACACCTTTAAAGTGGGACAAAGGAAAGTAAGCCTTGGAGAAATGATGCCATTTAAATCTGACTCTCAAGGATGTGTAAGAATTGATTTGTAAAACTGGGTGAGAAGTCATTCCAAAGCAGAGCACCGATGCAGACAGAGGTAAGGCAACCAGGGGCAGGTATAGAAAACCTGTACTAATTCAAATTGGCAAATGCATGAGGATTAAAAGTAGTCTTTTTAATCATTTATTAAGCAAAGATTTATTTATTTCACTAACTTAACACAAACTCAGAGCAATAATAATACAAAAGACACAGGAGCTCTTGTCTTCTTAAAGCATAAAACTTAGAAGGGGAAGACAAACAACAGTTAATAATTGGGCAAACACAACATCAAGACTGGTATAAACTTGAAAAGACAGAATGTAATAGCAACAGGACTTGATTGCCCTATGAGAAAGAACAAGAAAAAAGTCATCTTAAGAAGAATTTTATATAAAAGTGGAATTATACTGTAGCTGGTACTGGGTCTGAACCCAGGGCCTCTTCTTGGGCAGTACCTACTTGAGTCATGCTCTTGCCCAAATCATTTAGCTTTCATTATCAAGTTTTTTCAACATGGCTCTAGGTCTGCCAAGGCACAAAAATTTGTGAGGCTCCATTTCAAGCAACAATTGGGAGCATAGTGGACATCTGTTACCCCAGCAATGGGGGAACCACAATAGCCTGGCACAGTGGCAAGCTTGTTGTCCCCAGAGACTTGGGAAAGCACAAATAAGAGAAAGGCAGCCCAGACCAAAGGAAAATAAAGTGAGAACCTATCTAGAAAATAACCAATGTAAAAAGGAGGGCTAGAGGCATGGTTCAAGTGGTAGAGTACCTGTGAGCAAGGTTAAATTCAGTCTCCAGTATGGGAGTTGAGCGGGGGGGGGGGGGCTGCTAACGAATCCGGAATATCTATCTTACAAAAACCTAAAGTTTCTCCAGATATCCAAGCCAATTCTTTCTTGAAAATCTTCAAAGGACTTGTTCAAGAGCACATCCTGAGATAATTCTTTCTTCTCAATCCCATCCTTCCTCCTTCCTCAACAAATCCTGTTTTAGGACTCCCAAAACACACATAGGTGTTGGATACCTCTTCAGCTCCTGTCATGAGTATAGCTGAGTGCCACTTGTCCACTCTAGGGTGGTGTCTGGTGTCACAATTCCATTCCTTTACCCCCTACATTCCGGACGCCTGGCTCTTCTAGCCTACCACAGCCTCCCATCAACCCGGGGAAGCCCTGCAAACTAAATTTCAGACAGTGCTCCCTAAACGGAGGGGCCCCCTGGGCTTGGTACACACCCGAGACCCCAAGAGGCTTTGGATTTTCTTTTTCTTACATGCTGAAAAACCCTCTATAGCTCACCAGGGCGTTAACTACCATCGAGACAGCGTGGTCTGGGATTAGTCGGGAACTGCGTTACCCAGGCCTCTCTTTCCCTGCATCCCAGTCACACCTGGCGCTACAGTCTCTGACTCACAAAAAGCTCCAAAGACATAGAACGGAGGAGAGGAGGGAGGGAAGGAGAGCGGGATGGAGCGAGTGGGAGGGAGGGAAAGAGAGGGGGGATTCATAAGAAACCAATGAGAAACGTTCGGTTTTGGAAAATGAGACGTAGTTCTCAGCCACCGCAACCAAGCACTCACGCCCGGCTTCCGGCGTGGCCACGCCCCCCGGCAGGCTCCGCCCCCGAGCTCCCCGAGCCCCGCGCGAGTTGCGCGCGCAGGCTTGCCCCGCCCCTTGGACTCCGCCCCGCCCTTTCCAGCGCTAGAAAGATGGCGGAGTTGGACATTGGGCAGCACTGTCAGGTGGAGCACTGCCGGCAGCGAGGTGATCCCTGTTCCCACCCCCCGCGCCCCCCTCCCAACCTCCCCTTGTCCAGCCTCGGGGCTCGGCCGTGACGTCAGAGATGATGAAGGCGGTGGCTGGGGAGGGCCGGTCTGTGGAGCGGGGTGACCGTGCTTTTGGTGGCTGCTCCGGAGTATTAAGGGGAAGAACAAAAACAAAACACACGTGGTCTCCTGGGTCTCCGAGCCGTTCCGGGAGACGCCGCGGCCGGGCTCCCCGCGGCTCCTGAGGGGAGCCACCCGCGCGCTCGCTCCTCCCGGGTGACTGGCGGGAGAGGGGGCGGGGCCGGGGCTCGAGGGCGGGGCCAGGGCGCGAGGGCGGGGCCAGAGGACTTGAGGGGGCCGACCTCCAGGGACCGCCGCTCCATGCTGGCCGCGGCCACCGCGCACACCGCGGACAAGCTGCGTTCTCAGGCCTGCTCCTTCTTTATCCGACAGGTGAAGGAGTTGGGGAGATCGGGCTCCTCCGGCGATGAGCGAGCATGTGGGAGAAGGCTTTCATATCAGATTCCCAAAAGGCTACTGATTCTAAAATTACTCCTATTATCAGTGTATTATTATTAGTATTTTCTTCCCCACCTAGCCATGTTTTTTCATTCGTAATTATCGGTGGAGCTGGCGTTTCCCGAGCTGTGATTTGGTGTTGGGTACATGTGGCTAGTGCTAACACTGAAGTTTTCAGAGTACTAAGTGTTAATACGGTGATGGTCTCTGTTGGACAGGTGGACACAGATAACCCACTGGCAGTGTGTCAGGGGCTTCAGGATGCCCCTCACACTCCTAACCAGGAATTCTTGAAGCATTAGCGGACATGGGCAGCTCAGACTTTGGTATTCCAGATATGTATGCACATAGGTTGACAGTTAGACTCCCCCTGCAGTTTCTGTTCTTGGTAGCAAGTTTCTGAATGGCTCTGTTGAAAGAGAGTCCCGGGTAGCCCTCAGATTTAACATAAGTGCCCCAATTTATTAATGATAACCTGCTGTGGTGACACTATCCCTGTTAGGTTCTTGTTACTTACAGCACTCTGAATTTGTAACTTCCATCATTGGCTTTAAAACCAGCCACTTGACAGGCAAGAACTTGTTTTCTGCCTCTTATTTCTTAGTTTGTGTGTGTGTGTGAGAGAGAGAGAGACAGACAGACAGACAAAGATGGGGTGGATTAGAGCTTGAACTCAGGGTCTGGGCACTGACCCTGAGCTGCTTATGCTCAAGGCTAGCACTCAGCACTCTACCATTTGGGCCACAGGGCCACTTCCAGCTTTTTCGGAGTGGTTTATTCGAGTTACAAGTCTCATGGACTTTTCTTCCTGGGTTGACTTGGAACCACAATCCTCAGAGCTCAGCCTTTTAAATAGCTAGGATTACAGGTGTAAGCCACCAGGACATGGTTCTGTAGTCCTTTCTTATGGAATTTTAGCCATCCCAGTTTTGACTGTGCTGCATCTGGTGTGTCTGATTTCTCTAGTAAGTCTAAAAATACCATCTAGCCTCTGCCTGTGATATAATTCATTGTCCTTTCCAACTTCACACATCTTTAGTGTCATTAGTTGAGATGAGACAGGGCCTATCTAAGACTGCAAAAGGGCTAAAATTTAGAGTAACTTAATAAGGAGTATCAAGTTATCTTAATTCTTCTTCTTGGGCCCTCCTGGTTTGCATCTAGTATTTAATTGTGTACCAGAAATCTCAAAATGGCATATATGTATGATTTTTCCATATTGAAAATACATAAAAGTTTGCTGAATGTTGCATGCTTCTGTTTCTTTCATGTACTGACACTTGTATCTTTAATTACTTGGTATGAAAAGGAAGCTCATAATAACAGCAGTGACAGTTCACCATATGTTTCTACCAATTTAATTATATAGGAGTCTCTTTTGGTTGCATACCAACTCTTGTTTTTATTTTGGATTAAAATACCCACACTGTAGGAGGACGCTTTATTATTATTTTCTTTTAAAGAATAGGTTGCCTAAAACATTTTCTAGTACTTAGTTTCTAGTATTTAATTTCACAAGTTTTCTCAGATATGCTATTAGGATTATAAATACAAGTTAATTCTGACTTGAGGGGCTGCTTGATAAGCTGTTCTGTTTTGTTTTGGAAAGCTGTTTTCTTTCATTTTGGAATTATATTCTTCAAGACAACCTTCAGAGAATGATCACTGGAGTTTCATTATTAAGTACCATATTTAACATTATCAAGCAGTGGAATCAGAATTAAAACCAGGTTTTTCACTCCAAATGCAGTATTTTTGTAGTGTATATTCTAGAAAATAACAATTAATAAATCTTAGAAGCAAAACAGAAAAAGGAAAGTAATACCAAAATCTTTTTCTAATTTAACAAAGCTACTACAAGTATCACCTTGTTCATTCAGCTACGTTTTGCCAATTATTGACATGACCAAAAAAAAATACATTTTGACTTCTTACATTGAAATATTAGTCAGAAAGTGTTGTCCTGTTTATGTGACCCAGAACTTTTAAGGTGTTCTTTGTTTTCTTCTGTTTTATTTTGCTTAAAATAACTAAATGAAAAAATTACATACTGACCAGTACCTACCACATTTTCCCCTGATTTTAGATTTTCTTCCATTCGTTTGTGATGGTTGTTCAGGAATCTTCTGGTAAGTTGTTTTTTATACAGGATTTGAAATTACTTCTGGTGTTTGCAATACAGGGTTAATTTCTGAAAAGAATAGTGATTTGGAGTAATTCTAACTTTAGTCATGGACATTTACTATTCGATAAAGTAATCAAGAAAAAGGCAAAGTGACTTGTCATAGGTTCTGATCATATATATATATATGTGACTATCACATACATGTATGTGTCCTTTATTACAAGGAGAAAATATTTACAATGTAAAAATATGGTAAAAGAATCAGGCTATGATTACTATTGTTTAGCATCAGTAAATGAAAAGAGCCCAACATATATGTTAAGAGGATTTGAACACCATGCAAAGTAAAATCTGGACCCTAACAAAGCATTTGGAGAAACTTATTTTCTTTTTTTTTTTTGGGTCCGGTCATGGGGCCTGAACTCTGGGCCTGGGCACTGTCCCTCAGCTCTTCAGCTCAAAGCTAGCGCTCTACCACTTGAGCCACAGC